GTTAAAACGAAAAGGGTTGAAAGAAGGCGAAGAAAACAAATTGTAACTGTCAAGTAAATAGAATAGATGTAACAAAGTGGTAAGTTTATGATACACACACAAGCCCAAACTAGATAAAGTCCACCTTCAGATAAGTATAAAAGCAGTGAATGGTATTTTTTCAGGAAGACAGAAAGAAAATAATAAATAATCAAAGTTGAGAAGGGAGAATAATGTACATCAAAGGAAATAAAGGTTCATGCCCGCATCATTTTTAGGTAGAAATGAGCGAGAGTTGGCCAGTAGGGAAAATCAAAACGACCTTCAAATATTAGAGATCAGATATGGATACAAACACGGTTATATGTATGCCTTGTTATGTATGTGCAGATAAAATGACGAGCACAGACGCATGCCCAATAATGTGGTAAGCTAGTGGAAAAAGATTAATGGAATATATGTACGATGCGACTGATAGTGTTTATAGAGACGTGAGCTAAGCATCAGCTAAGCATATGAATATGGAACGGGGAGTTAGGGGATCGGGAGTAGGCCCATTAATGTTGATAAAAAATTAAGAGAAAATCACGAGAGGCAAGGTGAAGAGTTGAAATTTAAGAAAGACTACAGGGAATAAGTGAGAAAACAGGCGCGGATTCGACAAGGCCTGTAATTAAGGGCACCTGAGGTAAAAAGATTAGAAAGTGTCGGCTGGAGAAGTTGATGTTCTGACGCAGTAAAAATCTTGAATACAAATAAACGGATTAAGAAGCCCCCTAAAAGGAAATTTGGAGGGCAATAAGTGAACAGGTTTCTGAAGGAAAGGGAGGTGCAAACCTCGACTGCACAAGCACAAGAAGATAGGTATGAGGCAGATATAGTGCCAACAAGCATACAATCTTACATATGAAAGCGTGTCCAAGGCTGGACACACATATGCACACAGTGCGAGAAAGCACAAAAGCAGATAGACAAGGACATTTGTCCTGGATTATAAAGACAATGGAGCTGTACCTAGTACTTGTGATGGACTTTTGTTAGTCCTTTGATCCGTTAGGTTGGCCGCATGGAGGATCGACTGACATTTTGGACCGCACAGCATTTGGAAGAGTCTCCAAAGTGGTTACACATGCACCACCCGCTGAAGGAATTACAGCATTCGCTACATCAGGGCCGATGTCGGAGTGTGTAGGCTGCTGCTGGATGCCAGAGGCCTTCTGACGAAGCAAAGTCCAGTCGTATACATAGTCAAAAACAAAGGAAAGTGCTCGGAAAAGACTGCGGAAGCGGACCCGCAACTGTGCGTAATTGGGGCTCTCATCAAAATTCAAGGTTCGCACTGTTGTAAGGAAGGTAGCGAACTCGTGTGGGTAGCCACGGCAGAGCGCCTCAATGGAGGTGCTCACCTTTTTCTCATGAATACGTTCGTATTTCTCACGTTTAGTAGTTGCCTGAGGATGGAAAGAAGTAGAATATTATTTATAATTTACATCAATGTCACTATCAAATTAGCCGGTTATCCAGTATATAAAAATAGGAAAAATTCAGTTATAAAGCAAAGTTAATTCTTCTAGGGAAATATTACAATAAATCCGTTTCTTTGGAACAGTCAAAAATTAAAATTTTAAGATCGGCCAAATACATAGTTAAATACAATAACATCTGGGTACGAATGACTTGACTACTCATGCAGAAAACTAAACTAACTGAGAAAGAAGACTATATTTATCTGACCTTAATCGCATCTCAAACATCACTATAGGCTTGATATCAGGCTCTTAGGCTAGGCCATTTTAGATTTGATTTCATAGTTAAGTTAGTATTCAAGAGAAGTGTGTGAAACAAGGAACTAGTAAAGAACAAAAATAAAAATAAAGCCGTAGAATTTAACATTGGATAGCCAAGCCCAATAGATGAAGGCGTCATTTGGGCCCAGAAAACAGTGACTGAAAAAAGAAGTCACTGTTTTTTTCTTCCATAACCCTTTTCGAATTCTAGTAATCTCATAAATATTCTTTATGTTGAATTATTTATCTTACAAAGCAAGAGCAAAGCCGTGGTAAGGATAGTAATTTAACAGTCCAAAAAAAAGAATAAAAGGCAAAGATCAAAATTGACAAATGAATTCTAAAATAGTTAAATCTTTCTAGAAACTTGTTCGTTCTCGGACCGTGGACGTGGCACAATCCCAGACGTTTCGTCGGCATCGTCAGTGAGTCTAGCCAGTCTTAACACAACACGACAACTCGTCAAAGAGACAGGTGGGCTAAACAGCTGTGGTATCTCCCCTTCTGCCCTGGGCTAGTCACATTTCCTATATCCTCCTATCACAACTTCACTATTACAATTTGTACCGTGCTTATTTCGATGTAGTGTAGCGTGCCCTTTTGAGCGGCTTTTATGAGAACCCTTCGCACTCCAAGCTGGCTTTCTAACCCCCCTTCATCCTTGTGCTGGGAATGTGGATCAGTCTCCATATCGTTACGCCGTCCTCCTTTCCTAGGTCTTATCACAGTCTATCTCTTTCCCCATAAGATCCGGCTACCCTCTCCCTGGTTCACATATTTCACTCGACCCCTGTCACCCCATCTGTGCCACTTGAGGCGTTATTCGCCCTCCCCTGCGCCTGGGTGACTAATTCGAGGCTAAAGCCTCTTAGTAAGTGTCGTGGTCAGGCTTTTGCCACATGGACCACGTCTCTTATAAAGCCTACTGTCAGCCAACTAGCTCCCATCGCCGCCGTGTCTATCCTGTTTCTATCTCTGATACCAAGTATATGACTTCCCATGCCCTAGTCTCTTGCGTGCCAACCCACAAATGATGTCGTACTGCTTGCTTTGACTAGGTTCAATGTTGAACCGCAACGTTTGTGGGTTGGCACACAAGAGACTAGGGCATGGCAAGTCATAGACTTAATATTAGAGATAGAAACAAGATAAACGCGGCGGCGATGGGAGCTAGTGGGCTGACAGTAGGTTGTATAAGAGACGTGGCCCATGTAGCAAAGGCGTGACCATGGCG